GGGACACTGGGGACACTGAGGGGCGAGTGGGACCTTGGGGACATTGGGGACATCGTGGGGGGTCGGGGACCTTGGGGACAGCATGGGGTGGACACTGGGGACAATGTGTGGGGACATCGGGGTGAGGGACACTGGGGACATCACGGGACCTTGGGGACATCAGGGACAATGTGGGGAGACCCTGGGGGGACATTGGGGGACCTTGGGGACATTGGGGACATTGAGGGGTTGAGGACCTTGGGCACATCGGGGACAATGTGGGGACATTGTGGGACCTTGGGGACATTGGGGACATTGTGGGGACATTGGGGACATTGTGGGGGTGAGGGACACTGGGGACAATGTGGGACCTTGGGGACATTGGGGGACCTTGGGGACAATGTGTGGGGGACATTGTGGGACATTGGGGACATTGTGGGACATTGGGGGGGGTGAGCGACCTTGGGGACAACATGAGGTGACACCACCGGGGAGGACGCTCAGGCTCAGTGTGACCCCGGGAGGTGACAACGGTGACCCCGGGAGGTGACAAGGGTGACCCCGAGCGGGGCCAGCCCCCGCCGTGTCCCCATTGTCCCCTCTCTTTGTCCCGCCAGGAGCCGCTGTCCCCGCTGTCCCCGCTGTCCCCTGAGCCCAACGGCTCGGCGCTGTCCCCGCTGTCCCCTCGCTGGCCCCGCGCGCCCTCGGGTGACAAAAGCCACCCGCACACCCTGGCCCACCTCAAGCGCCACCGCGCCGCCGCCAAAAACCCCAAAAACCGCCCCAAAAACCCCGAAAACACCCTCGGGGACATCGGGGACACCCCTGGGGACATCGGGGACATTGGTGACACCCCTGGGGACACCGGGGACACCCCTGGGGACACCGGGGACACCGGGGACACCCCTGGGGACACCGGGGACACCGGGGACACCCCTGGGGACACCGGGGACACCGGGGACACCCCTGGGGACACCGGGGACACCGGGGACACCCCTGGGGACACCGGGGACACCGGGGACACCCCTGGGGACACCGGGGACACCGGGGACACCCCTGGGGACACCGGGGACACGCCGCGCCTGCGGCTGACGGCGCCGCCCCCCGAGGCCCCCGCGGAGAAGCAGCGCTGCTGTAGGGTCATGTGACCCCATTTTGGGGGGTCACGTGACCCGATTTTTGGGGTCCCCCCCCAAATTTTTGGGGACCCCCCCGGTGTGGCTCCTTGTCCCCAAAAGTGGAAATTTGTCCCCAAAAAAAAGAAACCGGGGCGAAGGTTGGCAGAGGAGCGTCGGCGTGGTTTCGTTTTTTGGGGTTTTTTGGGGTTTTTTTGGGGGTTTTTGGGGTTTTTTTTAAGGGGAAATTGGGGTTGGGGGGGCCCCCAAAATGTGGGGAGGGGGGGGAGACCCCAAAAGGGGGAGGGGAGGGACCCCAAAATGGGATTGGGGGAGGGGAGGGACCCCAAATTCGGGTTTGGGGTTTTTTGGGAGCCTAAATTTGTATTTGGGGTTTTGGGGATCCCAAATCCACATTTGGGGTTTTGGGGGGCCCTAAATTCACATTTGGGGTTTTAGGAACCCCTAAATCCTACAGGGAACTTTTGGGGACCCCAAATCCTATTTGGGGTTATGGGAGGGCCCTAAAATTCGTATTTGGGATTTTGGGATCCCCTAAATTCGGGTTTGGGGTTTTGGG